GGGTACATTATTTTAAAAAGAAGATCCCATCCAATATCCATTAGTTCTCCATTTTGTTCTCCTTAGCCTGGCATATAAAGTCACTGTGAAGAACTTCTTCATTCTCCTCCATAATCTACTGGTTAACAAGAATATATGTGTATATCAAAATCTACTGTCAATTTTTTTCAAACAAAAATGGTAGCTGACTTTTTGCACCTTGCTCCTTTTCCCCGTTTAACAGAATTCACTCACTCACTGACATCGAGTTAGAACTGACTCATAGCTTGCTCCAGTGGGTTTTCAGCGGCTGTAAAATCTGACAGGAGATTATCCATCTTTCTCCCAGAGTCATGGGTTATTTATTTCTGAACCACTCTGGTAGCTCAACTCTTTGCTTGAGCACAGTTCATATTCAAAATTAACCAAATCCACTGCTGTGAGAAAATTTGAACTCACAGTGACACTATAGGTCAGAGCAAAACCCATACAAATCTGTTAAGATGATTTTTAAATTCAGGTTCGATTAAAGATCGTATTTTGGGTCTCGTGGACTTGGTTTTTTATTTTCTTCAGCCCTGATATGTACATGAAAACCTGCACAACAGTAATTGAAGATTTTTTTTTTCAGTCAGCACTAGGCCTGCTTTGACCACTAATAATGAGCTTCTGCAATGATTCCTTCTACAAGTGTCAACAATCTGATTCCTATGCAATCCATTAGATGAAAACCATGTGTAAAGTCACTGTGTTTTTTAATAAAAGGTATTTGCGATTAATAAATCACTGAACATACAAAATTCATTCCTATTTCCAGCCTCATTTCTGTCACCAAGTCCATACTTTCCAGCTTCGTCAGTTTCCAACTTTTGCCTTCCAGTCATCAGTTATCATTAGCACATCTTGAGTGCAGGTTTGTTCCATTTTGTACTACAAGGTTTGGTAAAAATCATCATTTCCTCCTCTTTGGCTTTAGCTGTGGGAGTATATATTTGAATAATAGTCGTTATCAATAGGTCTTCCTTGTAGACATATATGGATAATAACCTATCACTCACAATACTGAACTTCAGGACGTGACTTGAAATAGTCTTTCTCATTCTCAGCATAGTATACCATGTCATTGTCTGAATTAAGGTGGCCAGAGCCTGTCCATTTCATCTCACTGATGTCTGTTGTTAGGTGCTGTCAAGTACAACTCACAACAACCTTATGAACAACCAATCTGAACACTGTACTATCCTGTACTATCCTCACAATCTCTGACACACTCAAGTCCATTACCACAGTCACCGTGTCAACCTACCTGGTCAAGGTTCTTCTTCTCTTTCACTGCTCCTCCACCTTCCCAAGCATGAGGTCCTTCTCCAATGAATAACCTCTGCTAGCAACATGCCCAGAATATGTGAGAGGAAGCTTCATCATCTTTGCCTTCTGGCTGCACCTTCTCCAAGACATATCTGTTTCTTCTTTTGTCAGTCCATGGGATGTTCAGTACCCTTCTCCAACACTAGAGCTCAAAGGCATCAATTCGTCCATCATCCTTAGTCATTGTCCAGCTCTCAGATGCATTGTAAGTGACTGAAAAGGCCATGGCCTGAATTAGGAGCACCTTAGTCCTCAAACTGACATCATTACTCCTCAATAATTTGAAGAGGTTCCTGACTGCAGACTTCCTCAGTGCAGTATGTCCCCTGATCTCCTAACTGCTGGTACCAAGTGTAATGATTGTGGATCCAAGTAAGATGAAGCCACTGACAGTCTCAGTCTGTAGAGTCACTCTGGTTCACTAGGGTTACTAGTGGCCATGGAATACGTGCAAAAGGACTTGGCTACAATACCTGTGCAGGCAAATAATACCAAGAACGGATGGGACTGAAAGCAGTCTCAGACTTCCTGGAGCATGTATCACCATGAAAAGGATCAGGAAGTTCTCTGTTAAACAAAGACTATTTCCAAAGTTCTTGATAAGGTTGTAGAGAGCGCAGTACCTTGTTCATGAATACAAAGATGTTTTCTTGAAAACTGTTCATGCCTACCTACGCTTGGTTCCATATTACCTATGCTGTGTTTCGTATGTTTAAACATTTACCCACCCTATGAGATCATGCTTTATTGGAAGCTTTGATTTTCTGCTAATAAAAGCAGGGGCTTCAAAATCTTTCAACATCATTTGCAACATGAAAGAGGGGTGACCCTCTCAAAACCCAGCTTCTTCTCTCTGGTCTTCTCTCGACTCCATGAACACACAAACAACAAAGTCCTTTCTTCATCCATCCATCAATGTTGTCTATCAGTCCAGGTGTGAGAATTTTTGTTTTCTTAATATTGAGATGCAACCCATATTGAAGGCTGCATTGTTCAACCTTCTGCAGCAAATGCACTAATGTCTAGAAGGCTGACGCTCATTTATTCCATTTAATTTTTCACAACTTCTAGTTTTCCAATTCATACTTTATGCATTTCATATTCCAGCTTTTAAAGGATGTCTGCAGCTGTTTCTCATCATTTTGATTGACTTCCAATCTGGACTCTACCTCTATTACTGTAACTATCCGCCACTATACATCAAGTTTCCAGTGGCCTTTAAGCAGCTATTTAAGAAGTGGATAGCCATCCCTGCTTCTTGGTCAGTCTTAATCGAGAGCTCTACTAAAATCTGACCACCAAGGGTGATCTTTGTGGCATTTGGTAATGTAGCACTAAAAGCCCTTAAAAAAAACACTTTAGAAGGAGTTACCTAAGCAGGATGTAACTAGCTACCACCGATGGAGCCCTAACTAGCTGCGTGACACTGCCCCAAGTGTTTCACCTTCCTTATCATAGAAGGAGAGCTCTGGTGGTATGGAGGTAAGAAGCTGCGCTGCACTCTTGAAGGCACAGTTCGAATCCACCATTTGCTCCGTGGGAAAAAGATGGGCAATCTTCTCCAGGGCGATTAACAACTGCCTCTGAAAACCCGCTGGAGGCTCAGCTAAGGGCCTGTTCCGACTCGAGGGTACAAAACAACAATAATGCTCGCAAGACTGCTGCTGCCCTCATTTCACAGGTGAGGAAACTGGGGCGTAAAGAGGTTAAGTGGCTTGTCCAAGTACAGACACCATGTCAGACAAAGTGACCCCCTCTATGCCTCCTTTCTTGCAAGAAGCAAAAGTACCACCGCAGCTCTAGTGCTGGGTGTGGATCCCTTTAGCAACCATTCAAAAGGGCATTTAAGGGAAAATGGACCTTCAGAAGGTGGGTACTGGGTGGCATGGGAGGGAAAGGGAGGGTGGAAACGTGGGTCCTCACCCTAGCTCGCCCACTAAGTGTCATGGAGGTCGGCGGGCAGCGCGCATGTGGGGAAGGGGGGAGCTGGCGCAGCGGGGCGCACCTGGATGTCCTCGATCATGTCGGGTGTGAAGAGCTCGCGGCTGATGAGCGCGTCCCAGAGCTCAGCCACCTCCAGCTCGCTAACCAGTCGCACCCGGCACCGCCTCAGAAGCTGCCGGTCAGCCTCGTCCATGGTGAGCAGACCGCCAGGACCTCAGGCCGCTTCCGCCGCTTCCGGGCTTGAACTCCGCACCCAGCTCCGCCTCGGGACCCGCCCAGTACTGCGCCCCCATCCCAGGGCTCGTTCCCGCCCACAACCCCCCTTCTCCCCATCACCCTCTCCCCGCCCCGTACAGCTCCGCCCCCACCAGGCCCAGACCTCCAGCACCACGACCCCACAGATGCCGCCCCTAGACCCGCAGGGCATCGGAGCTCCGGATCCGCCTCTGTCCAACCCCAGAGTCACCGTCCAGACCCCACATTGCCCCCGCCCCTCCATTACGATGCAGCCTCAGGCCGCGCTCCACCTCCTTCCAGGACACCACCAGCCTCAGATGCAGGCCGCGGGCCCTCGCTGCAACCAGGCCCCGCCTCCACGCCTCAGTGCCCGCCTCCACGCCCCAAGACCTACCTCCACGCCCCAATGTCCGCCTCCACGCCCCAATGTCCGCCTCCACCACGCAGGACCCGCCTCCACGCCCCAATGTCCGCCTCCAAGCCCCAGTGCCCGCCGTCAAGCCCCAATGTCCGCCTCCACGCTCCAGGACCGACCTCCACGCCCCAAAGCCCGCCTCCACACCCCAAGACCCGCCTCCACACCCCAAGACCCGCCTCCACACCCCAAGACCCACCTCCACGCCCCAATGTCCGCCTCCACGCCCCAAGACCAGCCTCTACCACGCAGGACCCGCCTCCAAGCCCCAATGCCCGCCTCCGGTGTCCCAAGACCCGCTTCCAAACCCCCAAGACCCGCCCCCAT